GGGGTACAGGGGGGTCAGTATGAAGAGACAGTAGGCGGGGGGGGGTTTGTGTATAAAGAGACAGTCAGTGGGGGGCATAGACAGGGGTGTGTGTGTGTATAAAGAGACAGTCAGTCAGTGAAGAGACTGTCGGGGTCTCACCTGGGTCGGGCCGGTTCCTCTTCCTCACCGAGCCGCCATCTTCATCGGCATCCTGAGCGGCGACAGAAGAGGAAGGGCCGAAGCCGGCGGAGGGGGCGTGCACGCACGGCGTACCAGGGTCACGCGCAATCCGTGTCGGGCCCTCCTCTGCCATCTTGTGGTTGGCATCAGATCGCTGTGCGGAAGGCTTTCCGTGTTTTTGGCCGCCATGTTGGAGAGGGCGCCCCTGTGCTCGCCGGTCGCCATATTTTGGATGGCAGGGATCTGTCATGTGTGAAGGAGGTGACCACAACATTTCAGGGTCCGGTTTGTTAGGTCTTCCGGTGTAAACAATAATCTCTCTTACTCTTCATATTGGATTTTATTGTTTCTTGTAAAATTGATTTTATAGCCCAGAAATCACTGTAGGGGGGATGTGAGGGAGCCTTGCAGCCCCAGCATCTCTTTGGGGAACGTTGCCCCGGGTAACATGCACTGTCAGACATCCCAACCTGCAAAACTTTATTTCAGGGAGGTGCCCTTCTCATTTCAGGGAGGTGGCCTTTCTGTTTTGTTATTTTCTTTTTATTGTGCCGTCAGAATAAAATAAAAAAACAACATATAGCATGGGAATGAATCATTAGGCTGCTATTGGCTATTTCAATTTGCAATAGCCAATAGCAGGCTGGCTATTGCACCCATCAACTGCTGCTGTCAATCAGCAGAGGAGGTGATTGACAGCAGCAGTGGGCGGGTGCAATAGCCAAAATTTCATAACAATTCCGGGATATACACCCAGCCGGCTTCCCGCCAAATCATTAAGCGGGGCAGCGTGTAATGATGCAGCATCGGCTTTCCAATTGGCCGGCTTCCAAGCCAGCTTCAAGCTCACTCATCACCTCATGATGAGGGAGCATGGAGCCAATCTCCCGGCCAATCAGGAAGCTGTGCACTGCGTCATTACACGACGCCCAGCTTCCTGATTGGCCAGAAAACCGGCTTCATGCTTTCCCGTCACCTAGTGATGAGAAGCATGGGTACGGCTTCCCTGCTGATCGGGATGCCGGGTGGCGAGTTTTTACGCGCCGTCTGGCTTCCGTAACGGGACTTCCGGTATCGGGGAGTACCGGGGAAAAAAATATTGATGCTCGATACCGAAAAACGGTATCGGTGCATCTCTAATAGATATATTTCTATATACAAAGTATATACTGTATATTGGTAATTAGGGAGATCTAACACTCACCCCGATCCCCGTCATGTTCTGCTCCTACAATGTATTTAACTCGTCTTCTCCTATCAGTTCCCTTTTCAATCTGTGAAATATTTCATTATAAGTGTTTTTTCTGTTCAGTAGGTGCAAAAAAGTCCCTGTTGATCCCGCCAGAAACCCCCGTCAGGGCATAACGTCCTGTGCTCTCCGCCTGCCTGACTGGTATGAGTGACATCCTTCTCAGCTCTGTCTTCCTTCACGGGGGGGCGGATGTGATTATAGTTGTACTTTTGTACTGTTACAATTATTGCTATTGTTTTACATATTGAATAAGTAATAAAAAGATTTATTAAATAGTTCTCGGTCTGTTCTTAGCTGTCTTCGAGGACTACAGAACCCCCCAATGTTATGGAGATGAGATTTGTTCTGTAGTCCCGTGTCATAAAGTGACAACACTGTTTCTTCATAGATACTGTATAGTGAGAGTTGTCACCCTAGAACAGGAAGAGTGTTACTGGCGGGATCGCCAGGAGAGAATAAAGGAGACAAAAGTCTGAATGAAGAAAAATAATGCGGCGGCCACATCGAA